TTTGGCTCTGTCAGAAATGTAGCGTGCCAACATTGTGGTTGCCGCGAACAAAGCAAGCCATCGGCCGAGCTGTCCAGGATTTCAAGACGATGTCCTTGAGTCCGTTGTGGATGAACTTTGGACGAGGTTCTTCTTCCTCGCGGATTCCTCAAAAATGCATCTGCCTCGTTGATATACGTGTCCTTCATCTCTCGGTCGTTCAGCTTCGGATGTTTGGTCACGGATCCAAGGTTCACCGTGAGGTGGTTGAGCGTGGTGGAAGATGTGTATGTAGTGTCCTGGTGTGCTTTGGGACAGGCTTGTTGGTGGACTGCGACAAGGATCTCAGGTTGCGGGTGTATACCTTCATTTTCCGGCTTGTTGTGACGAGAAGGGTCCTTGGTTCCGATGGGAAGCTTGATCGGATAGCCTGACTCTGGCTGCTGCGCACGGAACATCGTCCTTCTCACGATAATAGACTTCATCTTCATCGTAATTGATGGACGGATCAACATGCGCAAGGGGATCGATTTCGCACGCGCTGAGATCAGAGCGCAAGGACTTCGGATTTCTCACGCGGCGACGAGTTCTTGGAGATTGTTGGGGCCGTGGATTTCCTCGTGGATCTTGGTCCTGACGGATCTGTCCCAGTCGAACGCAATGGATTCGTCATTCTGGTCAGACTACGCAGGGTCGGTGGAATGTCTCCTCGTATTTGGGGTGACATTCAAAAATAGTGATTCGCCAAAGCCCTTGCCAGCTCAGAGGCTACCGGCTTTAGATCGAGGCAATCCTGAATAGAGTGCTGGGAATGTAAGATAAAATGCTAGATTTTAAATCGTTAAATCTCAGCAACGCTAAACGTAGTGTTGGGGACACTAAGTTAAGCCCTGGGAATTCAAGGCTAAGTCTTGGCAATACTAAGTTTCATTTTGCCGATATTAAGATGAGTACTGGGAAGCTAACATTAAATCTTGGCAACACTGAATTTGGTATTAGCAAGACTAAAAAAAGTGCTGGGAATCTAAGATGCAATTTCCAGCCCAAGGAAAGCACGAAACAGGTGTGGCCCAACAGTTTTCCAGTTGCGTCGCGCGTGCGCGTGGTCAGACAACTCACCCCCGGCCAAGCGCAGCCGAAACAACTGCCTGCCCAACTCGCCTGACTGCCTTGAGACCAATCAAAACCAGCAGGATTGAAATAGATCAGAAGAATTCACAAAGAATTATAATCAACAAGGCCCGCGAGCAAACAGCAGTGTGCCAGCTTCGCAAGCCTAAAGGCAACCGGAAGGACCAAACAGCGGCGCGCAATCATCTCAAGCCCTACAGGCAGTCGGCTGGACCAAACTAGATTTGCCAGGCGGCTTTTGGAAAACGAACAGCGCGCAACATACGACGACGAGTTGTACAAGATTTTGGCAGAAGGACTCAAGTCAGGAGTAAATTGATCTTAGGGGTCGGCAGCATGTTCACATGGCTTGGGTCGGCGATGTCATATTGAACGATGAAGCAGCAGGACGGGATTCGATGATCATCCTGGCGACACAACATCAAGATCTCTGGGAAACGGACAGCACTCACAGACAGGAGCATCGATCCTTGAGCATCGATCCTCGGAACATCTTTGTTTGCCAATGGAAAGCGTGTTCAGCAAGGTTGCTGTTAAACATGACCCCGCAACAGTCAGGTTAAGCCGGTGTAACATGACACGACCCCACAACAGTCAGGTCGGTTAAACAGGATCAGGGGCTCTTGTGGGCCCTTTCCTTTGTGTGACCGTTTGGCCTTCATGTTTAAAATGAAAGGTGATGGCTTGGGGGCCACTTCAAAAACAGGAACTCCTCATCTAAGGGTTTTTAGCCGCTGAGCTGGGCTTGCACGAGAGCCACCCTGCTGGGCTTACATAAGCTACAAGTAAAAGGCTGCGGCGTTGATTTGGGAATTTCGCCACCGCCAATAAAAACTCGCTATTACTTGCCAGTAAGCAGGGCGCCCCCAACACAGTTCCTGGATATGGGGTGGATGTTCTTTTGACAAGTTCTGCAATGTTGTATGTTTGGCATGTTATTTAGGTCAAGATCTGTGAGTAGCTTTGCAGGCGAGAAGTGCATGTGCCGAGTGGCACTCATGTGAAGGGTAGCGATCCGGATCTTTAAGCAAGAGCAAGACACATGGGGACGAAAGGGCAACTCCTACATCTTGCGTTTGTTTACCGATTTTCTCACTTGACACATTTGTGTGCGTTTTTTGGGGACACATATGTTCCACAACGGAGAACGCCCAAAACAGTCGCAGGATCCTCAGCTGACATTACAGGTGGTTCAAAGTTTGGCTGCAGCAAAATGCCAAATCAGGGCGTCAAACCATGATCTGTTACTTTCCGGTAAGTTCACTTGAGCAACCCTTGCCTGCACACATGACTTCACCTTCCAAGCAGTCACATAAGCGTTATACAATGCACTCACAGCCGCTCAGGTCCAAACATGAAGCAAACTCCGAACCGCAAAGCATGTGAGGCCGCTCAGACCAACAAATGAAGCAAACCTACAAACCGCAAAGCATTTTCACCCGCTCAAACCAACAAATGAAGCAAAACTGCAAACAACAAAGAAAGTACCACCAAAATTGCACCTGCAAAACCCTGCCCAGAATTTTGCCTCAGCAGATGTGGGCCTAGGCCGCAGACACAGGAATGCCAGGATCATACAAGGATTTGCCCGCATATCATCGATCATTGGGTGACTTGCTGGGCAACATGCCGAATCTGTTCGTCATGGTGGCGTTCCCACGGCGTGACAAGTCAAGATTCAAGATGAAACGCTCAAGAAGAAACAAATCGTCCCTCAACACTGGTGGGTTGACAGCATCCCGTCACCAGACGGATGCGTCCGACGCCTGTTTAGGCATTCCCGACCTGTCAACCTTGAACCTGTTGGGACGCCCCATCCAGAAAGAGCACCGAAATTGGGAGGGCCTTTGGGTTTCGAGGCTCCCCAGGCGAAATCCAGACCCAGTCGTTCTGCACCTGAACCCACTGAGTCAGAACACAAGATCATTCCATTCAAGAAAGCGCAAATGACATTCATGTTGCACGCAATGCTTTGGAAATTGCTACCCCTGATAGTGGGCGCTGTCAGTTTGATTTCTGTAACCGTCTTGGGTGGCGTTGGAATGTTCCTGTTAGGAAAGCCTGCGGGCCAGGTGCTCGCAATTGCTCTGTGTGTGAAACCAGTTGGCTGCTGTTGAGGGCCACCTGGTATTACTTGGCATTGCCAAAAAAACACGTTTGCAGGCTTGCAGCAACAGCATCACTGCGACCAAGCACGCCTGTCAAAACCAGCAGCCAAACACGCGCGCAAACGACAGCACTTTTCCATCTGCCTCTGCGTTCGTTCAGCATTGCCAATGCTGAATCTTAGATTCCCAGTGCTAATCTTGTACTTAGCTTTGTTAAGACTTCCAGCGCATGCTGCGTCGTCGCTGCGTCGTCGCTGCGTCGTCGCTGCGTCGTCGCTGCGTCATCGCTGCGTCATCGCTGCGTCGTCGCTGCGTCGTCGCGTCGCTGCGTCGCCGCGTCGCCGCGTCGCTGCGTCGTCGCGTCGCTGCGTCGTCGCGTCGCTGCGTCGCTGCGTCGCTGCGTCGTCGCGTCGCTGCGTCGCTGCGTCGCTGCGTCGCTGCGTCGCTGCGTCGCTGCGTCGTTGCGTCGCTGCGTCGCTGCGTCGCTGCGTCGCTGCGTCGCTGCGTCGCTGCGTCGCTGCGTCTCTGCGTCTCTGCGTCTCTGCGTCTCTGCGTCTCTGCGTCTCTGCGTCTCTGCTCTGTGTCTCTGTGTCTCTGCGTCGCTGCGTCTCTGCGTCTCTGCGTCTCTGTGTCTCTGTGTCTCTGTGTCTCTGTGTCTCTGTGTCTCTGTGTCTCTGTGTCTCTGTGTCTCTGTGTGTCTCTGTGTGTCTGTGTGTCTGTGTGTCTGTGTGTCTGTGTGTCTGTGTGTCTGCGTGTCTCTGTGTCTGTGTGTGTCTGTGTGTCTGTGTGTCTGTGTGTGTGTCTGTGTGTGTGTGTGTGTGTGTGTGTGTGTTTTTCACGATACTCTCGGGTCAGGGGAGGGGGGTGTGTTGCACAACCAGATGGAAGCCACTGTGTTGGCCATGCCGTTTGCGCTGCCAGCCAGCTCTGTGTGTCTGTGCGCGTGTGTGACGGCCCGAGAGCCTCGCTCGAGTTTTTGTTTCACATCGAGACTGCAGTTACGCGTTTGGGTTTCATTTTTCGCGGTACTTTCGGGTCAGGGGAAGCTCGAGTTTTTGTTTTACACGAGACTGCAGTTACGCGTTTGGGTTTAATTTTTCGCGGTACTTTCGGGTCAGGGGAGGGGGGTGTGTTGCACAGCCAGATGGAAGCCACTGTGTTGGCCATGCCGTTTCCGCTGCCAGCCAGCTCCGGTCCCGCGCAGTGACCTTTACATGCTTATACTCTGTGTTTGTGGCTGCTTTTCTGGGCAAGAAGCATGCGCGACATGAACATCGGCGAGCCGTGGCTCTGTCACTGCGGGGCCCCAGCCGTGCTCAGCGTGCCTTTGTCTCCCCCAACCCGCATTTTGTTGCAACCCTTGAGGAAGCTTAAGGGTCGATACGTCAAACTTGTTGGTTCGTGCGTAGCTCAAGTTGTTTGTATCTTGTGTTGAGATGCGTTCCGTGGACATTCTTCTACCACCGGGCGGGTCGCCTGTGAGTGGACGCACGTTTTGCTGCAACCCTTAAGGACGCTTATGGGTCGCTTTTCGCTCGGCGGGTGAGCATTTTGTTGCAACCCTTCCGGAAGCTTGAGGGTCGATAACAGACAGAAACCCTGCCAGCAACAAGCGCTAGCTTTCGTGGCCTTCTCTCAAGTCATGTCGCAATGCCGTTTATGTGTAGAACTGCGCAGGGAGTCTTCCCGCCAAAATTGGTTGAGACGAGGCCAACAAGTCAACCAGGCCCCAAAGTGCCTCGAAACTCGTTCAAATCGGCGGGTCTGTCGTGCCAAACTTAGGTGGCTCAAGCGATCCTCTCGCGGCTGGCAAAGATGAGGAAAAAGGAGGAGGACCTGGACATTTTCAGCCTGGCGGATCAGGATCAGGATGGCTTTGTGTCCCGGAAGGAGTTCCGCAACTTCATGAACGACTGCCCTGGCAACTTCTCCAGAGATCAGCTTAACAAGCTCTTCGACTATTTGGACGATGCTTGTTCTGGCCACTTGCAGCGGGACGAGTTCATGCGCTGCGCCGTAGTGTTCTACCGGGTGTCGCGCCCCAGTGTGGATCTGGTGCAAACCATGGGAATGGCGCAGGGCAAGCTGGTGCGCAAGTTGGATGTCAACGAGATCTTGGAGCTTCTTGAAGGAGGGCGCTGGTTTCCTTGTTTTTCCCCTGGGAAACGATTTTGACAAGCAAAGCGTGGGCAGAGAAGGGCAAGCGCAAGATCCGGAAAGATTTAGGGACAGGCCGCAAAACACCAAGGGGCAGGGTACGAGAGACGAAGCAACAAGAGTGTTGGCGCTATTGCGCAACTCTCCTTCGCCCAAAGACAGGATCCCCTTTTTGGCCACCGTGTGCCTCGCGGGGACATGGGCGCAACTTTCTGGCGTATTGAGAGGTTGTTTTAGATTCCTATGATTGCCTCTAGAGCCTCCATCATTCTGCCGCAATTCTGAGATATAATCAGGATGGTAGGATGCTTTTGGCTTTTGGCTGGGTGTGAGGTGCTGTGTTTCGGTTGAAGTGTTGGTTTTTGTTGAAGAGAGTCGGCGCCCAAATGCGTGAGCTATGGTGGGTGCATGTTCTCGTGTCTCGACATCGCTTGGGTAAAAATTGAAAACAACCCATTTGGCCAGTTTCTAGAGGCAAATTCGCAAGTTTCTGTATGGCGGGGTTTGTTCAGTGGAGAAAGGCTAGATGGTCATGCGTGGAGGCTAGGGATCCCGAGCTCCTGGCCGAATTTTGTTTCTGGCACATGGGAGGTCCCATCAAGGAGATCAACAAGGTGGTGCGGGTGAAGTGCCGGGCCATGCGGGACGGGTCGGTGGGCTGGGCCACGGCCACGGGCTCCAACGGGGTGGTCTTCGTGGAGCAGAAGCGGGTGCACTTCCAGGCTTTTTCTTCTTCGGGGGAGTGACAGTAAAGACTAGCTTTTGAACACTTTGTTGAAGCCCAAACTTGATGGCGGTTTGTCGGATCTTACAGGTGAAGACCTCCACCACATTGACGGATTTGCTGTCGGCCAAGGCTTGCGCCACCCTGCGGCCGCTGAAGGCTCCACTCTTTCGTTTTTTGGGGGTGGGTCGTCGCCCCATCCGCTGACGTGTTCGAATGTGCTCCCAATGGATGTCACAAGCTAAGCAACACGCTAGGCCCCCCCCCCCAACAGAAAATGCTATTTTGCGCAAAAGCTTGCGCGTTTACAAATGTGTTCCCCAAAGTGTTCGTTCTGCCCCCTGCCACGGATTTGACCATTTAGTTGCGTGCAGAAGCATGTACTGCGTGCATTTTAGGAACGGCCAACGAGTGGAGCGAGTGCAATCCAACAAACACATTCAATGATACCAGACTTAGGAGAGCCTAGCGTGATTTTGCTTCAAAGATTTTACCGGCAGAGACGCCCAAGCAACTACATACGGGGCGCATGGCTGCTTTGCCCCCATGCTGCAGCTCTGTTGTTGTTGTTGTTGTTGTTGATGATGATGATGATGATGTGGTTGTGGTTGTTGTTGTTTGTTTGTTTGTTTGTTTGCTTGTTTGTTTGTTTCTTTGTTGTTGTGTTTGTTGTTGTGATTGTTGTTGTTGTTGTTGCTGCTGCTGCTGCTGCTGTTGTTGTTGTTGTTGTTGTTGTTGTTGTTGTTGTTGTTGTTGTTGTTGTTGTTGTTGTTGTTGTTGTTGTTGTTGTTTGTTGTTGTTGTTGTTGTTGTTGTTGTTGTTGTTGTTGTTGTTGTTGTTGTTGTTGTTGTTGTTGTTGTTGTTGTTGTTGTTGTTGTTGTTGTTGTTGTTGTTGTTGTTGTTGATTGTTGTTGTTGTTGTTGTTGTTGTTGTTGTTGTTGTTGTTGTTGTGGTTGTTGTGGTTGTGGTTGTGGTTGTGGTTGTTGTTTGTGTTGTTGTTGTTGTTGTTGTTGTTGTTGTTGTTGTTGTTGTTGTTGTTGTTGTTGTTGTTGGTTGTTGTTGGTTGTTGTTGGTTGTTGTTGGTTGTTGTTGGTTGTTGTTGGCTGTTGTTGTTGTTGCTGCTGCTGTTGTAATTATTATTGTTGTAATTATTATTGTTGTTATTATTGTTGTTGTTGTTGTTGTGGTGGTGGTGGTGGTGGTGGTCGTCGTCGTGGTCGTCGTCGTCGTTGTCGTTGTCGTTGTCGTTGTCGTTGTCGTTGTGGTTGTTGTTGTTGTTGTGGTTGTTGGTTGTTGGTTGTTGGTTGTTGGTTGTTGGTTGTTGGTTGTTGGTTGTTGGTTGTTGGTTGTTGGCTGTTGTTTCTTGCTTCTTGTTTCTTGTTCCTTGTTTCTCGTTTCTTG